ACCTACGCCGGTCAGGTGTTTCACATTATCACTCCACCAAAACTGACTGTCAAGGCACTAATGACTTATTTCTCAATATTTACTAGCTTCTCCTCATTTACTCTATCACTAAATGTTCTGTCACCCTAACACTCAGTCTTTGACCCTCTTCTCTTTTCTATCTGACTACATGACTGCTCTAATGAAAACTGCAGTCCTTTAACGTTAAATATCATTTACATGTTGATGATGCCTAAACTTATACCTCAATATAATCCTCTTGTCTGAAATCCAGACTCCTGTATCTCTGGCCTGTTCAACATATCCACTGGTAATGAACATCTCAAATGTGTAAGGTGAAAACTGAACTCTTGACCTTTTCTCACCAGTGCTTTTCTTACAGTTTTAACACATCTGTCAATAGTAGTTCCATCTTTCCTTCTAGGCCAGATAGTTGCATTCTATAGTTTTTGGATGGAATCTAATATAAATGTGAATTAGGTCAAGGTGGTTGAAAGTGGTGTTCAAACAATCTGTTTTTATTGATGCTTTTCTCTCATTCTATCAGTCGCTAACAGAGAGTGTTAAAATCTCAAACTATGGTTGTAAAATTGTTTATAAGTTCCTTTTCTCTCAAATTTTGCTTCATGTATTTTGAAACTGTGTTATGAAGTGCATATAGATTTTTCATTATTATGTCTTCTGATATATTTTTCCTTTTGGTCATTATATAATGTTTCTCTTTATCTCTGATAATACTCTTTTTCTTGAACTCTATCGGGTAGAAAATAGTTATCTTCAGGTATTTTATACTTATTGTTTGCATAGTATATCTTTCTCAACCAATTATTTTGAAGCTATCTGTCTCATATTTAAAGTATCTTATAATAGCATGTTATTGGGTCTTGTGTTTTTGCTTTTTAGTTCGGTATAATGATTTTTACCTTTAAGTTGAAGTACTTAGCCAATTTACACTGAGTGTGATTTTTGATACATCTGAATTTAGGTCTACCATTTCCTTTTGTTTGTGTGTTTGTCCTAGAGAGAATCAAAACATGCCATCCCAAAATATTCCACTTTATTAATATGTGTATTTTGAACTGAAGGCAATTGAGTCAGCGGATGCAGACAGAAAAATTCTCAGAGCAGAACTTTTCTTATCTGACCAAAAGCAGAAACTTCTGAGAAATAAGAACTACCATAGATCCTCTCTCCAGGAGAGTTTAATGGCCCTGAAGAAGATGGAAAGTGCATATTCATACCTGTATATGCAAATATTATCACAAACTTTCAGGGTCTCACTCTGTCACACAGCCCAGTATGCAGTGGTGCAATTATGGCTCACTAAAGCAAAATTTCTGGGCTTCAAGCAATCCTCCTGCCTCAGCCTACTCTCATTCCCATCGCTGGGATTACTGCCATGAGCTACCCACTGAGGCAGGCAATTATCACAGACTTAATCTCCTAGAAACCCAATTGTGTTTCTTAAGGAAACCCATCTGCTGTTCCAGAAAAAGCCTTTTCCACCCCCTCCCTTTTTTCTACTAAATTATGTGTGAAGTCTTTAACAGTTTAATGAGATTTTTTTCTGGCTTTCGTGAGCATATGAAATAAACATTTTTCTCCTGTTTATCTGTTTTTTGTCAGTTTAATTCACAAATTCCAGCTACTGAATTTGGGAGGGTAGAAGAAAATTTTTTTCTCTCCTACACGTTCTATTTTTTGTTCTTCCATTTTTGTTGTTGTTGTTATTTTTTACCTTTTTTGGGAGGTGATGGGGGAGGAAATTAATAGAAGTTCTTTCGGATTCCATTTTAATTTATATTGTAATTTTAGCTGTTTCCTCTTGTATTATTTTTCTAGCGGTTGCTCTAGGAAGTACAATATACAACCTTAACTTTTCAATGTCTACCTTGAGTTAATATTGTATTATATCACCTAAAATGTAAGCAACTTGCAGTCACCTAGGTTCATTTATCCTCTCTTCATCTTTTACATTGCAATGTAACAACAGGACTTTTGCTTAAAACCATCATATGCACTTTAACAAAATTAAAAGAAAAAATTTGTCTTGTATATTTATCCACATTTTCACTTTCATTCTTCTTTCTTTCTGAAAAATGCAAGTCTCTCTCGATTATCACTTCCCTTCAGCCTGGAAAGCATTTTTTCTTTTTTAACATTGTGTTAGTACAGATCTGTTATTAACAACTTTTTTTAGTTTTCTTTTATCTGAAAATGTCTTTATTTTACCTTTATTCTTGAGGGATATTTTGCTGGATGTAGGATTTGAGATTGTATTGCCTCTCTGCCTTTTGGCTAAAATCAACTGTAGAATTCAGGGTTGTCAATTTTATTATCTATCTGCCTTTTAAAGATCATTATATTCTCTTCTGGATTTTAATATTTCAGATTAAAAATCAGTGATAATTAGAATCATTTTTCCTCTATTTAAAATATATCATTTTTTTTTTTCCTGTAGCTGCTAAGGTTTTTTTAAGCTTTAGTTGTAAGAAGTTTAACACTCATGTCTCCAGTTGTTGGCTTACTGTATGTTTTCTGTGTGGAATTTGCTGAGCTTCTTTAATTTGTAAATTTATGTCCTTTGCCAAGAGGAAAAACATGGAGTATTATATATGTATATGTGTTTTCTGCTATCTTTTCACCCTCATCCCTTTCTGGGACTCAAGTTATGTGTACGTTAGACTTTTTAAATTGTCATATGCTCCTGAGGCTCTATACATTGTTTAGCAATCTTTGTTTCTCTCTAGCCTTCAGATTAGATAATTTCTAATGTATTAATCTTTCTTCAAGTTCACCAAGCCTTTCTTCTGCCATTTCCAATCTATCGATAAGCCCATCTAGTGATTTCTTTCATTTTAGATATTCTGTTTTTCAGTTCCAGAATTTCATGTTTATTCTTTAAAAATACTTTCTATTTCTTTACTGAGATGTCATATATTTTCATTTATTATAAGCATATTTTCCTTTACATTTTAAATATATTTATAATAGCCACTTTAAAAATTTGCCTACTGATTCTAACATTCTGGTCATCTTGGGATTGGTTTCTACTGCCTACCATTTTCTTAAATCTGAGGCATATTTCTTGTTTCTTTATATAGCCCATAATATTTTATGGTATCCTGGACATTAACAAATGATACATTAAGGAGACTCTGAATTCTTTTATTTTCCTGGAGAATACCAATATTTTGTTTTAACAGACAGTTAACTTGGCTGAACTCAAGCTCCAAATTCTAATATTGAATTTAGTTATTTTAGGTTTAGGTGTGCTGCTTGGAATCTGCTCAAGCAGAGTTTCTGTACAGAATTTGTAGCTCCCTTTATATGACTCACTCCTTTCTGAGATTATCCCCACTCACTTTACAACTGCCAAGGTCTCCCCAAATCTGTCCTGAAGTTAAGTAAGCCTATGAGTTATATAGCTACTGTCTAGGTTTTAGTGGTCCTTGCTTGCTACAAACCGGGATCTGCTCTCAGATTAAAAGTTTTCAAAGACAGGAAACTCACTCAGGGCCCTTCCCTACTTTCAAGTGTCAGTCTTCTGTCACAAGTGTCTGCCTGCTGTTGTTTCTTTCCCATTATATTCAGAATATTGGTTATTTTATTTATACTTGATATTTACCTGAAAGTTGGTGTATGTGAGCTGCTTGGCTATTACCAGGCCAAGCATGTTGGAACTTTCTGTGACTTATCACCAGAAGATCTCCTCTTCCCACGACTTGTACTCTTACCCAAGACATCATCATCTTTCACTTGAATTACAGTAATATTCCTAAGTGGTGCACATTTTTCTATTCTTTTCCTCCTATAGGCTATTTTTTTTAATCACAGAAGTCAGAGTAACCCCATTTGAGATATGTCAGCTTATAATCTTGCAATGTTTTCCTATTTTCCCGAGAGTGAGAGCCAACGCCTTTAACCTGGCCACAAAGCCCCACACAATCTGGCTCCCACTAGAAGCTGGAACTTCTCCTGCCACTGCCTCCATGCTCAATTCACTCCAGACAGTCACAACAACCACATCACTCTTCCTCAAACACCCCTGGATCACTGCCCCCTTGGAGACTGTGTGCCTGTTCTTCCTGCCTCATGAAATATTTGTTCCTGAGATATTTGCTAGACTCACATCTCCTTCAAATATTTGACTCACATAACTTTCCCATTGAATTCTCTGATCACACTATTTTAATCCTATCTCTTTAGTTCCATAATTCCTACTCCCTAATTTTATTTGTTTCCATATTATTCTCATCACCATATGTCCTATTTATTTGTTGATATTTTATCTCTCCCAGTACAATATATGTTTCATGAGAGCCTATACCTTTGTCTGTTGTATTAATTAAGACACGCCAAGTGCCTAAAACAGTTGTAGATGTAGATAAGGCATTTGTAAGCTGTTTCAAATATATTAGGTAAGGGAAGGGCTGAATCCCCTGGCATGGGCTTCAGCATATAGAAAAATTCCTTACACATAATTTCTAATTTAAAAATATTCTTGAATTTTTAAGTGAATAAAACAATAAATTGGTAGCCCAATAATCCTTTCTGGGCCACAAATTCTTCACTTATTTTCCAAGAATCTTATATTCATGCATAGCATTAAAACTTTCCTTCTAGATAACTTTAGTGCACTTGTTTCAACAATCATTTCTTTATTATAGTTGCAATTATCTGAACAAAAACAACACATATGTATAAGTAAGTAAATAGGCAGCTGATTTATCATAGTAATACATTGTGAACTTCATACATTCTGCCATTAACCAATGTCATTTCACTCACATAAACCTATCCAGTACCCTGGATCACATAAGCACTGTATAAGGTAACCTGGTAAAAAGCAACCACCTCTCAGACCTTGTCAACAGCCAGCACTGAAACCTAAACCTGCCTGTCTCCCTCATCATCAAGGGGTATGTCCTACCCTACAACCTGGGAAGTTGCCAACAAATGTTAATCTGACTTCTAAAACTGTATCCTTAGAACCATTGTTATTGACCACCAAAGCATCTACAAACATTAAATCTGCATCGATGAGCAGAAAGTCCATCACAAGCCTGGTGACCTCTATAACCAAATCTTCCCCAATTTTTAATCTTATAGCTACAGCCGTAAAACCCAGTTTCCACCAAACCTGTGGTTAACAACCCTAAATTCTCCACTGCTGAAAACGTTCCTACCACCAAATCATCCACCATTAGTAAACCTACCACAGCTACCACTACAACAGCTACCAAAACAACCATTGTAAACCCCATCACCAAATCTACCACCACCTCTAAGTATTCTACCTCCACCACCAAATGTACCACCATCTCTAAGTCTGCAACCTCCACCACCAAATCTACCCTTACTTCTAAGCCTGCCACCTCTGCAACCAAATCTACCATCACATACAAACCTGCCACCTCCGTCACCAAATCTACCACCACATCTAAGCCTGAGACTTCCACCACCAAATCTACCACTATTTCTAAGCCTTCTACCTCTACCACCAAATATACCACCAATTCTACACCTGCTACCTCTACCACCAAATCTACCACTACCTCTAAGCCTGCTGCCTTCACCACCAAATCTACACTTACTTCTAAGCCTACAACCTCTGCCAGCAAATCTACCACCACTTCTAAGCCTGCTACATCCACCAGCAAATCTACCACCACCTCTAAGCCTGATACCTTCACCACCAAATCTACCAAAATATCTAAGCCTGCTACCTTTATCAGGAAATCTACCACCACCTCTAAGCCTGCTACCTTCATCATCAAATCTAACACCATATCTAAATCTGCTACCTCCAACAACAAATCTACCATTACTTCTAAGCCTGCTACCTCCAACACCAAATCTACCACCACCTCTAAGCCTGTTATATCCACCACAAAATCTACAACCACCTCTAAGCCTGCTACATTCACCACCAAATATTACTACCAACTCTAAGCCTGCTACCTCTACCATCAAATCTACCACCACCTCTAAGCCTGCTACCTCCACCACCAAATCTACCACCAATTCTAAGCCTACTACATCCACCACAAAATTTACAACCATCTCTAAGCCTGCTACCTTTACCACCAAATCTACCACCACATCTAAGCTTGCTACATCTACCATGAAATCTACCACCACTTCTAAGTCTGACACCTCTATCACCAAATCTACCACCACCTCTAAGCCTGCTACCTTCATCACCAAATCTGCCACTATCTCTAAACCTGCTTCCTCCATCACCAAATCTAAAACCAGTTTTAACCCTGCTACTTCCATCACCAAATCCATCATTATTTCTAACCCTGCTACCTCCCTCACCAAATGTATCACCACCTCCAAGCCTGCTACATACACCACAAAATCTAAAACCACGTCTAAGCCTTTTACCTTCGCCACCAAATCTACCACCATCTTTAAGTCTGCTACTTCCATCACCAAATCTACCACCACTTCTAAGCCTGCTGCCTTCACCACCAATACTACCCTTACTTCTAAGCCTACCACCTCTGCCATCACATCTACCACCATTTCTAAGCCAGCTACATCCACCACCAAATCTACCACTACCTCTAAGTCTGCTACCTCCACCACCAAAGCCTACCACTTCCACCACCAAATCTACCACCAACTCTAAACCTACTACCTCCACTACCAAATCTACCACCACTTCTAAACCTGTTAGCTCTACCACCAAATCTACCACCACTTCTAAGCCTGCTATCTTCGCCACCAAATCTACCATCAATTTTAAGCCTACTACACCTGCCACCAAATCTACCACCATTTCTAAGCCTACTACCTTTATTGCCAAATCTACCATCACCTCTAAGCCTGTTACCTCCATCACCAAATCTACCATTACTTCTAAGCCTGCTACCTCCACCACCAAATCTACCATTACTTCTAATCCCACCACTTCTACCACCAAATCTACCACTACCTGTAAACCTGCTACCTTCACCACCAAATCTACTACTACTTCTAAGCATGCTATTTCTACCACCAAATCTACCGCCAACTCTAAGCCTACCACCTCCACCACCAAATCTACCACTGCCTCTAAACCCGCTACCTCTACCACCAAATCTACCACCAACTCTAATCCTACCACCTTCCACCACCAAACCTATCACCATTTCTAAGCCTGCTACCTTCACCACCAAATCTACCACAACCTCCAAACCTGGTACCTCTGCCACCAAATCCACCACCACCTCTAAGCCTGCTATCTCTACCACCAAATCTACCATTACTTTTATGCCTATCACCTCTGCCACCAAATACCATTTCTAAGCCTGCTACCTTCACCACCAAGTCTACCACTACCTCTAAGCCTCCTACATCTTTCACCAAATCTACCACCACTTCTAAACCTGTTACATCTGCCACTAAATCTACCACAACTATAAAACCTATGATTCCTACTACAAAATTAAGCTCCCCTATCAAGCCCAAAGTGCCTATGACCAAACCTATTACCATTGTCAGTTCTGCAGCTGGCACCAGTTCATCTGCCTCTATAGCTCAATCATTTTCTGATGATCTTAAGTGTGCTTTATTTTGAGTGAAATTTAATACACATCAAAATGACCAAAATTCTAGAAGACTCTCCTTAAGTGATGTGTTAACAAACATTGTTCAGTAAAAACAAGAGTCTCTATGTGTGATGTAAAGAACCTGAGTTTGGGAGTCAGATGGATTTTAGTTAGAATCCTTGTCTGCCTAACCCAAGACAAGGGACATCACCTTGGGCTGCTTGTTAAGTATGTGTCTCATCTGTAAAATGAGGGTGATATACTACCTATCTAATGCACTTATTTCAAGAACTGCATAGAATAATGTACATAACATGCCCGATATACAACTGATTTTCAAAAGTTTTCTTTCATTTTACTTATCTCCACTCCATTTTTTGTTTCTCTTACTTGCTTGTTTGTTTGGTTCATTTCTGTTTTTGGGACTTTTAGCTCTTTTTGTCATTACCATTAAAGACTAAATCCACAACATTTATCAAGCTAAGAAAAATCATCCTCAAAGAGATTAAAGGAAGCCTGAATTGGAAAGTCATTACTAGTGATTTCAACAGATTCCGGCAGGAACCTAACTTTCAGTAGTCTCAGGGGTGCCAAAAAGAAATGTTTGCAAGTCATTTGTTCTGATCCAATAACTTGCTGATGTTCCTAAAAATTCATCAGCTTTTTAAAAAGAAACTTAAAAAGAAGTATTATTATTTTATAGTCAGCCTCTTTAAGGGAAAAACAGATCAAGTAGTGTATCAAGCTTTCTCTAAGAACTGGCTTTGCCCCAAGGGGGAAGGTTTCTAGGTAGCTAGACTCTAAATATTTGCTGAATAAAGGAAAGAATAAATAAATGTTTGAATTATTTAATTAATATAATGCTGAAGCCAATGAATGTCTCTGTGGTTTTGGTCTTTCAACAGCCACTTAGCAGGAAAAGTAGAGATATAGAGACAGCCTGTTGAACTGTGCAGGGTGTGACTGGCCTTCTAAACTTGGCACTCAAACTAGAAGACTATGTCACTGTTTTGCTACCTGTTGCCACAGTAGCAATGGGTATGGCCACAATACCTGCAGGCTAATGTCAAAATTTCTCCCCAGTTTTCTGATTGAGTTTTTTTCCCGTAATCTAAAAATGTTACTCTCCCCTTTTCTTCTTGTCATACTGACATGTATTTGCTTTTCTATTTTTCTCAAAAACAGATCTGCAGTAGCTAATGAGATAGTAGTATTCATTAGTGTATATGAAAAGGAAAAATCCTAGAATTAATTTACTTTATGAAAAGTATGTGTTTCATTGCCCCTTCTTTGGGCTTAGCACAATATTTCTTGGTTTAAGACTATCTTTTTCAAATGTTAAACCAAGTCTCATGAGGATTCTTTCATTGAACTCTATCTAGTGCTGACTTAAGGAATTGAAACTTTATTCCTTAAGACTTAATGTCTTACTCCTAAGTACATTCCAATTTATGTGACTTCAGGGACTGCCCTTAATAGGACTCAGACTAAAGTAAATTCGTGTAATCTGAAATATTATTTACTATAATTCAAATTATCTTATACTGTACTTCTTCTAAACGATGCAGTTACCAAAAGCTCAATAGGACTTGCAGGCCTACAATCAAGACATTTTCAACAGTGACTCCAAGAAAAAAACAATCATGAGAATGTGACATTTCTTTTCTCAGTTCATGGCATTTATATCACACATACCTGTTTCCTCATTTACAAATTACTAGCAACAACAGTACCTATTATGAATTGTTACTAGGAAGAAAACAAGCTAATGTATGTAAGATGATTAGAAATGTTAGCCATTACTATTCTGTTTATTAAGCCAAATGATGTTTTCTATTTTTAATATATCTTCCTATTTCATGAAGAAAACAGAAGTTAACTGTCATTTCTGCCCCACAACCCTCAATCCTAATCCATGACTACGCTACTTTCTCTAAACTTTATTGGTAGAAGTTAGTTGCTTGTCAAAGTTTCAAACAAACAAGGTTAGGAAGGAAGAGAATAATATGAATGGAAGAATTAAGTAACATAACAAGGACCTAAATCGATTAATATTGTATTACAAGTCACAGGATACAGGGATTGTATCATTTATATATTTATTATTCACAGCATGTACAGCATTGTCTTGCATATGATTAGTGTGCAAAAAATTTGAGTGAAAAAATGAATGATTGAATGAAGAAGATAAATGAGTGACAGTTGTGAAATGCCGCTAAAGACTTGTAAAATGTTAGTTCAACAAAGAGTTTGAAATTATGGTAAACAAGACTTGTAATTATCCATAAATTGAATTTGTTCAGGTTTTCCTTTCTTACAGAAGTTATACTAATCAGAAATTGTTACATTCAAATCTCAGACTCATCAAAATAAAGTCATCGAAGAAAGGAGGATAGAATAGATAGAATAGAGAAACTTATCTGGCAAATTCTATGACAAATTATGATTGTCTTAGAAGTAGTCTTATATTTTAAAAATTCTAAACTTCAGAACTTTTGAAATAAAACAATCATTTTATTGGAAAATAAAAAAGTGTTAATAGCGTGCTTTAAAGTTTTTCACATGAATATTCTTAATCACTGACATTTTAATCTCCATATTTGCGCAATGCAGAAGAAAACAGAAATACTTGGAAGTGCTTAGCCCGGGGCACAAGCTACAGGATGACATGGCCCCCCGCCAGGGACCATCTACTTTATCCAGTGGTACACAATGGAAAATAAACCTGTCTTTAAAAAAAAAAATGGGACCATAACAGGTGTTTGGTTGATTCTAGAATAAAATGCAAATTTTGAACAACTGAGATTAAACTTTAGAAAGTCACGGTCTTTGCCACTTTCAATTTCTATCTAGGTTCCCAAAACTTCTCTCCTACAGACCTCCAGCTCACAGCTCCCTACCCAGACATTCGCACTTCCCTCTAAGCACTGCTCAAAACCAGTATTTCTCAAACTTTCCCTGACCAGAATTCACTGAGCTGAAAAAAAAAAAAAAAAAGAAAAGAAAAGAAAAGAAAAGAAAATATGGCCTACTTCACTGATTCTAGCATTGAAGAAAGTTTTGTGATGGGAACAACTAGGGAGGAACAAACAATTGGAATAGTAGCATTTTAGCAATTACACAGGAACAAAGCCATCAGGAAAAGTGTAACCTGGGAATAATTCTATACATAAATAATGCACAAATAGGAGCAACTGAAAACCATAACTAGCTTAAAACAATCCTAAATTATAACAAGGTTAGAGAACATTCTCTGAAAATTTGGGCAATCCCAACAATCTAAGCATGTTGTTAGAAATTCTTGTTAAGCATTGCTTGATAGTGGGATTTCTTAGTAGAATATTAAATTAGGATACTCAAATTTTAGAAGTGTAATTATTTTAATTTGTGAAAACCAAATTTTTTAAATTCTTAATAACTCATTCGGAAGATTACTCACTGCTAGGAAATATTTATTTGAACATAAATATAAATATATGTGGAATTTCCAAATTTTCTCACTCCTAAAAACCAAGAAACAGACTTTCTGAGCTGCTCTTGGGCTTCAGACTATGCTGAGATAAAACCACAGCTCCAGTTGAGGGGCTTAGTCACACATAATAGGCATTTTAGTGTCGTCACCTGCTGGCATGATGTGACATGACATGACAGAAGTTTATGAAAGCATTTAAAATAGTAAAAGTACACTATTCTGTGCCAAACACTGCATCAGGCACAAAACCTATGGTAGTAAGCAAAATAAACTATTACCTCTACTGTCAGGGGATGCAAATATTAATAAATTAAGCACAAAAGTAGAGACAAGACGTAATGGTCTTAGTCCAGGGGATCAGAGAGTGCTGAGGCTGAAGGCAGGGTCTAAGTTCTCTAGGCAAATAGAGGAAATAGGGAGATGAAGAGGAGCACACTGGGCAGGGGACTGGACAGGAGGGAGCCTGGCACCTTTGAAGAAGAGAGGGAAGCCATGGTGCCTGGAACCCAGAAAACTGAAGGGAAAAGAGGGTAGGAGTGGTGAGACCTGAAGCTGAAGAGATAATAATAATGGCTAACACTTTTGTACCATTACTGTGCTTCCAGAAGGTTTGTTAAGAGTTCACACATATTAACTCTTTCAATCATCCTAAAAACCCAATGAGGCAGAGACCATTATTGGTCTCATTTTATAGGTGAGGAAACTGAGGCATGGAGAAGTTAAGTAACTTCTCAAGATGGCCCAGCTAAGAGTGATAGAAGCAGGAATTGAACCCTGGCAGTCTTGGCTGTAGAGTCCATGCATGCTCTTAACTCCCACACTATGCTGACTCTCAGGCAATGGATCACCAGGGCTTTGGGAATGTTTTGTTTTTATAACAGGCAGTCATTGACATTTTATAAAGAGATATGACATTTTATAAAGAGATATGACAATTCAAAGCATTAGACTTGTGCTTTGAAGAGATCATCCTATCTGCTTGTGGGGAATAGACAGGAATGGAATACAGCAGAGGGAGTGATAGAGGCTGGTTAAGACACTAATCTACTCCAAACGAGCATATCCTAAAACTCCTAGTTGGAGATGGTGGCTGTGGGGAAGTAAAGAAGTAGACAGATTTAGAACATGTTTAGAAGCTACAATAAAGAAGACCTAGAGGTGGATTGACTATTTGGGTGAGATGGTAAAAGGCAAGGAGGATGCCAGATGGCTTTTGAGCATCTGAATATAGAACTAGATGGTCCTTTACAGAAAAAGAAACTAAAAAACAATATCTTCTATCACTTCACTACAACTCCTCAAATTTGAGAACTTTTAGTAATATAAAACAAAATACTTTTTCCTGTGAAGATAATACGGCTAATTAACACTCTAAATTTCAATGAAAGGAGCGAGTACTATGAAATATTCTTTAAAAACCAATCTCTTCTCATATGTGTTAGAGCTACTTATCACTCTTCCATCTCATTCTTCCTGCCGGAGTTCTCCACTTTTTTTTAATTACTATTATTTTGAGATGGAGTCTCACTCTGTTGCCCAGGCTGGAGTGCAGTGGCATGATCACAGCTCACTGCAACCTTCACCTCCTCCCCAGTTCAGGTGATTGTCACACCTCAGCTCCCCAGTAGCTGGATCTACAGGTGTAAGCCACTATGCCTGGCTAATTTTTGTATTTTTAATGAAGATGGGTTTTACCATGTTGGCCAGTCTTGTCTCAAACTCCTGTCCTCAGGTGATCCATCCACCTCAGCCTCCCAAAAGTGCTGGGACTGCAGGTGTGACCCACTAAGTCAGGCTGAGTTCTCCACTTTTTGAATGCTGGAAATGGCAACAGAGCAGGAAGAAATTACTCAGGGAAACATGTAGAGCGGTGCCAAGCTAACACTACCACAAAGCTTTCTTGGAGGATACCACATTGCCTTTCTTGTTGGAGACCCTGGAAAGAATGAGAAGCCTTCAGTGCAGCTAGAAAGCAAATGTATAATGGGAAAAGTAGGTAGATATATAACATACTGAATATAACAATTTCCAACAAGAAGAAGATAGAGATTAAA